TGAAAAGGTTACTTCTGATGAGGACATTTTTCCAAAATGCTTCTTCAGCTAACTGTTTCCTTGGAAACTTGCTTTCTGCCTTGCCCAAAGGCTCCTCCTGTCCAAACCTTTTAATCCTGTCCATAATCCTTGTCACCGACTGTTCGGAGAAGTGCTCTTTGAGCTGAACTTGACGAACATCAAATATTAAGTGATCATCGCACAGGCAAGCTTGAAACATAATGACATTTCTACTCTCTGCTGGTGGCTCTTACATGGTCGCCTCAATAAAAGAGGAGAAGTTTGAATTGTAGGATTATTTCTGTATGGATGTGTCTGCAACCCTACCCATCTTTAAAGTGTAGCTGTACAAAATGATGGAAAACCCTACTTCAGCCTTAGACAGCCCTGGGCTGCCTTGTAGCAGCTAGATGAAAAGTGCACCTTGACACTGGCCATTATTCAGATCATTGACAGGCTCCCTCTACTTTGCTCTTATTAATTTATTGCCGGTATTTATATCATGTTACAAACAGGGGTGGACTGACAACTCATGGGGCCCCTGGGCAATAGGGAATCATGGGGCCCCTGTGTCCTTGCCCAAACTCAAAAAAGCCTATGAAAAAGGTACCAGGGGCATCTCATGGGGCCCCTACTGACCCCGGGCCCTCGGGCAGTCCCCGAGTTTCCAAATGGTCAGTCAGCCCCTGGTTACAAATTATGCAGTACTTTACATAATAAGCATTGACACCAGTCCCTGGCCTCATGGAGCTTACCATGTATGGTCCCTATCTCACATATACTAGGGCCAATTCAGATAGGAATCAACCTACCAGCATGTCTTTGAGCATGGGAGGAAACTGGAGTACCCAGAGGAAACCCACTCAAGGACAGGGAGAACATGCATACACCATGCAGATGGTGTCCTGGTTGGGATTTAAATTGAGTACTCTAGTGCTGCAAGGCAGGAATACTAATACCTAAGCTAAAGTGCTGAGCAGTACAAAACCATATTTGCATACTGCAGACAAGCGAGTGGGGTTTGCCTTGCGGAACTATTACTCTCTATGAACACACAGTTTGGGCTCTTCTAGCCAGGTTCACCCTATCCCTTTATGAGCACCCCTTCAAATGATGTTTCCAGCAAAGGGTACAATTAACGCTTCAACATACAAAGATATTTAAGTCAACTGTGCACTTCCAACTTTGCAGCAACTGTTTTAAGAAGGGTATTTTCTGTTCCAGCATGACTGTGCCCTATGGACAAATCCAGCTCCATGATACTCTAACATTTTGGAAGATCTTACCAAAAGAATAGAGGTTGTTAAAGGTGAAAGGGGTGGGGGGCAACTACATAAAATTTCCCATGGTTTTGGAATGGTATGTCCAGCTTTCAAGATCTTCTAGACAGAATGTTGTAACTGAGCCCCTTCCAAGTGTTTGCATTTTTTTAAATGTTGGTGAGTGAGCTTCCCAAGCAGAGCAGCCTAGTCTCTCATTTTTTTTTCCTGTCATTTAGCAGTGGAAACACTGTAATTATTATGGAGGGAGAAGAAAAGACACCGCTCTCACCTCCCATACAATCCCATGTGTAGAGGATCGCCTCAGCCGTCCCGCCAGCCACGCCCGCTGACGCGTTTCGCCCCGACCACCGGGACTTGATCACAGAGGAGTGCAGCACAACAGGTGCTCTGACCTTTTATGTGCATCATAAATAAGAACAGGTGTATGGTATAGGGGTGTGATAATGGAAATGGGAAGAGAGAGAAAAAACAGATGAAAAAGAAAAACGAAAAGAAAAAAGGGGGAAAAAAAGAAAAGGAAACAAATAAAATAAATAATAAAGAAAAAAATTAGGAAAAAAGGAAATAAATAAAAAATATGAAGATAATACAAAAAGTAGTATATCTAAAGGGAAAAACTAAAACATGAAAAAGCAAGAAAAGACAATAACATGATTTATGGAGAAAAGCAAAAATAAGGAAAAAAGAGAAGAAAAAAGAAGAAATAGGGATAAAATGAAACTTTATTAAATCCATATAAAAAAGAAAAAGAGAAAAAAAGGGGGAAAAATTAAAAAATTAAAAAGATGAAAAAAATAATAATAAAATAAAAGTACCGTATATGTGAAAGTGTGAAAGTATTTAAAATATGTGAAACGCGAATGCTTGCAAATGTGAAAAAATACTAATGTAAAAAAGTGAGAAAAAAATAAAAAATGGAAAGTAAAAAATGAAAAGTGAAATTATTATGGTTAGTGATAAATTTGAGTCCACCAAACATGGAACCTGGGAATAAGTAAGCCAATCAGCTGCAGACATTCCCTACCCTACAGCTGCATGTACACGAAGGGGTGGGGATGCTTATGACTAGAGATGAGCGAATCGAAGTAGGCGAAGTGGAATTCGTTTCGAATATTAGGAAAATAAGCAGACTCGGATGCGCGAATCGAAATTTTTCCTAAAATGGCGGCGACATGTGCGGCGACGGAGCGGGGATGTCTGGGAAGGCGCGCAGACAAGGCGCGCTGACCCATAATGCATTCATTCATGACATGTGATCGCATTAGCCAATCAGCAGCCAGCCAGCCAGCACAGTGTAATTTTTTTTTAAGTCCGCAAACGTGAGACTGTAACGAAAAAACCCGTAAGTGTCCGCAAAAAAGTGCAAGTGCAGAAACACACACACGAAAAACGTGCACTTAGGGGTGTGTTTGTCCTACCCCCGAAAGGGCTGGACCGTTCACCCGATCCCCCCCGGGGCACGAAGCTCCTGACAGGGACAAGGTTCCCATTTGGTCCTCCTGGCCAAAAGGCCTGGTGGACCACCGTTCCTTATGCCCAGCCGAAGCCGGACATCCAGTACTAGGCAAGGGGGTTCTCCCGAAGAGAAAACCCCCTAGGGATCAGGGGAGGAAGGAACCGTATGGCCACACATCCTCCCCCCCCCTAGACTTCAGGTAAGGCCCGAGGACCCACACCCTCCATCCGTGAAAAACACACACATAAGAAAGCAAAAAGTGACAAAACGTGGGAGTGAATAAATAAATAGAATAAAAATAAAAAAGTGGTACCGTGCCTAATAGTGCACAGACCAGGCCCAGCACAGTGTAATGGTCGAGCTATAAATGGCGGCCATTTTAGAATTCTCCATTTGCCTCCAGTCATTCAACAGAGGCAGACCTGGCTGTATGCAGGGAGAGAGTTAGGGACAGAGAAACGTTAGTTAGGGCCACATAATCGTTACTTAGGGCCATAGAAACGTTACATAGGGCCACAGAAACGTTTACTTAGGGCCACAGAATCGTTAGTTAGGGCCACAGAAACGTTACTTAGGGACACAGAATTGTTACTCAGGGACAGACAGAATTGTTACTGAGGGATACAGAATTGTTACTGAGGGCCACAGAATCGTTACTTAGGGCCACAGAAACGTTACTTAGGGCCACAGAATTGTTACTTAGGGACAGACACAGAATTGTTACTGAGGGACACAGATTTGTTACTGAGGGCCACAGAATCGTTACTTAGGGCCACAGAATTGTTACTTAGGGACAGACACAGAATTGTTACTGAGGGACACAGATTTGTTACTGAGGGCCACAGAATCGTTACTTA